ATTTATCTCTTTATTTTATTGAGGTGCGATTCATAAAACATAAAATTAACCATTTAAAAGTGAACAATCCAATGACGCTTAGTAAATCTACAACCACCACCTTTGTCTAGTTTCAAGACATTTTCACCATCCCAAAATAAACCACATGACTGTTAGACAGTTGCTCACCATCCCTTCCTCCCCTCAGCCTTAGGGTACCTTTCTTAAAACTTGAAATTGAGAAATTAAAAGATTAATAAAGCTTTCTGAGATAATTTAGGTATCATAAAACTAGATTTAGAATACATTGTTGTAAATTCAATAACATGAAGAAAAGCATTCAGTATACTGATAGTGGAACAATTAGATTATAAAATTTTATGTATTGTGTGTATATTTGCAACTATTAGGGGAAAAGGAACACTCAGTAGGCAACACATCAAAATAATAATGATTTTGCTCTAGATTTTCTTTCCCTTCATTTAAAATAAGAAAAAAATCTCATAATAAAAAATACTTTAGATAGTTAAAATCTTGGGTATGAACTTACTATTATAACAGTTATTTGAGGATAATATTAAATTTCAACATTTTTTTCCAGATTGAGTTACAATGTTTCTTTTTTTTTAAGAAGACGTTTTTTTGTGTGTGTGTGTGTGTGTTTTAAGTATATCTTTATTGATTTCAGAAAGAGGAAGGGAGAGGGAGAGAGAGATAGAAACATCAATTATGAGAAAGAGTCACTAATCGGCTGCCTCCTGCACGCCCCCGACTGGGGATTGAGCCTGCAACCTGGGCATGTGCTCCGACTGGGAATCGAACCACGATCTCCTGGATCCTAGGTCCAATGCTCAACGCCCAGCCGGGCTACAGTGTTTCTTGTTATTTACTAAGAGAAAAAAAGATTTGCTGTAGGAACAAAACTATAATATTTATAGTTTTTCAGTTCTCCAGATTATATCTCAAACCATGAATACCTGTTTCATGTAAGCTGTTTTCTAATTTATTTTTCTTTTAAAAACTATACTTTTTAGGATTTTCTTTTCATACTATAAAAACATCATCTTCTTGTTGATATAAGTCAAATACCACAGGGGTGTACAAATGATAAGCCAACAGTCTCCCTTCGCAAATAGTCTTCTCATGTACTGCCTGAAATAACTGTCAGCAGTTTGGGAGGTATTCTTCTTAGCCTTTCTGTCACGCAGCTTACAAAAACATACAACAAAATTGTACCCAACTGACTCAAGAACTCAAATGCCTTTAGGATGGCCCTGGCAATTAATGTTAACAGTGTGAATGCACTAAAGAAAGGTGGCGAACTGCAAGGCGATTTTACACTCAAAGCTTTCATATTCAGAAATAGTTAGGGCCCTGGCCAGTGTGGCTCAGTTAGTTGAGCATCCTCCCATGCACTAGGAGGTTGCTGGTTTGACTCCTGGTCAGGGCTCATACCCATGTTGCTGCTGGATCTCTGGTGGGGAGCATGCAAGAGGCAGCCAATCCATGCTGTGCTCTCACATGGATGTTTCCCGTTTCCCCTCCCCCTCCCTTT